TTGGTGAAGTGAATTATAGTTAATTGCAGAAAATTGTGTATAGAAAATAATTGAAAATTTAAAATAAAATAATTACTATATTACCAAAAATATGTTAGACGTATTTAGTGCTCACCTACCCCACACATATTCTTTACGTTCGATAATACGTACGTAATTATTTAAGACCATTAATCAGTGCTTTCCAAACTTGATGTTACTACGCCTCCCTTAAAAATATTTAATCATTTGGCGCTTTTCCCCCTACATTTCTAAAATAGATAAAACTTTAGCAGTTATTTGGAAAATTGCTCATTCTTGCTCCTGGAACGAATTAAGTTCGTTGTGTGAGGCACCACTGTACATACTAATATTCGTATGAACGTATAACAATATTAGTATGAACAATTTTAGCACGGATCATTAATATTGTGTATGATTGCAAATATAACTTTAATACTCTTATATATTTCAGGTAAGTTACAAATATTTTTCCGATTTTATATCCGGAACAAGTATTTGGTGTAATCTTAACTAGGTACTTACTTTACGTTCGAAAGTTCATCCCAATTTTCTTCAAGTGTCATTGGCGATGCTTAAATATATCAGAATTGTTAAAAACAATTAACTTGTGTTCATATTCTTAAAGGTGATATTTCAAAAGTTTTTAGAAAAATGATTTGTGTATGTTAGGTATCATCTTAAATTTGAAAAAAAAACAAGGAACTGGAAAGCCAAAATCTAAATCAAACAAACAAATTATACACAGGTTTCAATCAAAATTCCTAAAAAATATTATTAGGGCTCCGGCTTCGTCAAGAATAAAAAACACACGAAGATATTCATATATGCCCTGGCTCTGGATTGCCTACTCTCCTTAACGAATATACAGTACCTTTACAATCTAACGAGGTTTCAAGTACAGAAATAATGGACGTAGAAGAGTTACCAGTGGTAACTCCGCAAGAACCTTTGCAGTGTAATGAGGTTTCAAGCTCAGGAACAACGGATGAATAAGAGGACAATTGAAATAACGTAATGGAGTATGTATACGTTTTCCCGATCATCTAGGTCTTGCTAAAAAGTCAACAAGTAAGTATTGACTAGTGAATAATAGGGAAAATCAGGAATTTCGAAGCAGAGTTGGCGTACAATTAATCAAGTTGCATGATTAGTCAATATATTGCGTCGATTGATGAAGTGAATTATAATTAATTGCAGAAAAATGTGTGTAGAAAAAAAAATGAAAATAAAATAAATATTACCAAAAATATGTTATTTTTATTTTTGTTTATGGGGCAATTATAGTTTATCTGGCAATCAAAATCATATTTTTATGCTTCTTTTGTAGCTACAATCAGTGGTTTCCAAATTTGATGTTACTACGCCTCCCTTAAAATATTTTGCAGACATTTGGAAAGTTGCTCGTTGTGACTAATATTCGCGCCTCCCAGTCTGAAAAACGCTGCTTTAAAGGGACATACATACTAATATTCGTATGAACGTATAACAATATTAGTAGAAACAATTTGAGCACGGATCATTAATTTTGTGCATGATTGCAAATATAATCTTAATAGTCTTTTACATGGTCTTTTACAGGTAAGTTACAAATATTTTTCTGTTTTTATATCCGGAACAATTATAAGTGTATATGGTGTAAACTTAACTACGTAGTTACTTTAAGTTCGATTATTTAAGAACACTTGACCTAACTAACGTGCATATTCTATATATAGTAGAACCTTGCTTAACGAGCATTTTGCTTAACAACCAAATGAATATTAAAAAAATCTTCGATTTTGTATGTCATCTTTGTTTAATGCGGACTATACTTTGCAAATATAATTTGTGTTTGCTGTAAATGCAAAACACACTATGTACGCTTTTTATGTAAACAAATATTAAAAGTATGAAGAGACCTCCACCAAGTCCCTGAATTAATACAAGTAATATAAACTCACTTCACCGTGTGTGAATTGGAAAACAGTTCCTAGTGTTAGTGGTCATTCTAGTTGCATCTTTGTGTAGTTTGTTTGTTTTTTGTGCAACATTTAATAACACTTGCATGTCTTCGAATAAAAAGCTAAAGAATAAAAATAACCATAGATATGAAAAGCAAAATCATGAAAAATCGAGATCAAGTTATACTTTTTTTTCTCCGGCATGCAACTGATTAACGGAATTTATATTGGTTTATGGGAAAATGTGTTTCACTATACGAGTAAAAATCCGGAAATTTTGGAACAGATTAAACTCGTTAAGCGAGGTTGCACTGTACATATTTTCAATGGCATACAGTTAAACTGCTTCATCATCACTTTTTGAGGACAATCTTCTGGACCTTCTATTTTGATTCATACATCATCGTCGGCCAACATTTTCTTCCATTTATAAACAAGATCATATGCAGTTTCACCAATCTCGCCAGGCTTCTCGATTAATTTGTTAACGGTCAGCCCAATTTTGGTGTCGTGCAAATGTACCAAAGCAATTTCTATCTTGTTCAGTTTGTAACGGCAGTAGCTGATCCGATCAATATCATCTTTTTCGATGTTCTTCTTCAGTTTGTTGTGGTAGTGTTCAAATTCGCTCGTAATTTTGCAACTCTCCATCTTGGAGATAAGACGACTGAATGCAAAAATCCAAAAGCAGCGTACCATTTTGTACCTACCCTTTACTACGCCTTCCGCGAAGGTTTTAGCTAATGCATAAAATTTAATCACGTTAGGACATTTTTTGAAAACTGCAGTCGGTACATTTTCCGTTTGGATACTTAACAATCTTTTGTTTGTCTTTCCTTTTGAACTGTTATTTATTATTTTTGTAAGAGAAACAATATTATTTTTTTTTTTAATTATGATTATTAATTATTTTTGTATTTTCCTCCTAATTTGTTAAGAGTTTTATTTTATTTATGAGCAATGTTTTTGTATTTCTCAAATATGTTCCTAAATTGTATTTTTTTTCGTTTTTAACATTAAAATAATCAATTTTCAATTAAGTTTTACTTCCTTTGTATTTATAACTAAATATAATGTTGACACTTTAACATAATTATTTCATCGAAACACTAATTTGAAAAATGTATAAAAATATAATTTATTCTAAGGTATACAATAATCATTACAAATAAGTTTTATGATTTGTTTGACAAATCTTTAGATAAGTAAAATCTCTCAAAACGAACACATTTAAATTAAAAAAAAAACATTTTTCGTCATTACTCCTGCTCCTCTACTTCTTCGTTGTCGGACGAATCATCATGACTGTCATCCAAATCATCGCTCAATTCTTGCGATTCATCCCATTTGGCATCTGTGAATCTGAGAAAGAGAATAATTGTAGCATATATCTGGTTGCGCACAAATGCAATGAATTTACTTTTGGAAGGTTTCGTCTAATGTCTTGGTCGACATACTCTTGTTTTCCCTCAACAACGCATCCAAAACAGGATCGTTCAATGCGGGATCTGCACAGTTCTTGATGAAAGATTCGTAGTGGATCTGAACAAGATCGTGCTTTCGTTTGCGTTGTATAAGATTACCTAAGTGCTCGAAGTTAAACCGCACTGAAGAAGAACAGTTATGAGCGGAAAACAACTTTTTGTTTGTAACAAATTTCTTACCCTCCGCGCTAATCTGAGATTCGCTCATATTCAACTTTTCGGAATTAGCGACGCACTGTCGTATGCATTCGTCAACTTGTTTATAGGTCGGAAAAGGAATTTTCTTTCTGTTTTTGAACGTTCTGTTGATGGCGTGATTGATTTCGATGTGTTTCGAATGCGAGTAATCCAATGGGCTGTAATATAAACGGCAACACAGCGGATCGCTCTTCTCCAAACTCTTTATCATTGCGTACACCTTAGCTGCATGTTTTCTGTAACTATAAAACATCCCTTATATAAGAAACAAAAATCGATCTTTTGGTAAATCTACATTCTAACAAATCATCTCTATTCTATTTATCCCGACTAAATCAATCAATAAAAAGACTCGCCGTTTAATCCACTATACAACACAAATCGTTTACAATTTTTCTTTCTCTAAAATCTATGTGAAGATTATAAAAACATATTGATCAACCTATTTAAACAAGCTACAACGATAATAACCAAAGCTATTACACCAACTTAACTTAAAGCTAAAATATAAAAACCCTGATTACTTAAGCATTAGTGACGAGCAAAGTTGCTTGATTAATTATGAAAAGATGCGATCATTATTATTGTAAATAGCGACAAACTAGCAAATTGCAGTAGATGTAATGGAATACAAAGAGCAGATAGATTTTTAACAATGCAAAATTAACATATTACTTAATCAATTCTACTGTATATAGTATAAGTCTCTAATTTAACAATAATAAGTTACATTCTCTATTTGTATTCCGTTTTCGTTTGGTAATAACCACATTGCCATCTGTTCTTCAAGAGAGTCATTCTAAAACAGTAATATTAAATTCAAATTTTTGCCATGGCAATAAGACAGAATAAATAGTTTTCCAATTGTTTGCATGAATCATTGCATATTTTTGTAGCCAACTTCTTACCACTGCATTTTAATGTAAGATGAATCCTCATTATCTAAATCCACCTCCTCTTCTTCAAACTTTTGTATCTTAACATCCAATGATTTCAGAGTATCATACAAACGATCTAAGTCTGTATTAACACTGTCCTCCAATGATTTATATTGTCTGTGACTTTTCAGATGATTGTAGACATCAGAAAAGTATGTTGTAGCAAATGCTGGTTCATTCTCTAGATTCACTGTATAATCAACAACTATTTTTTTAAATTCATCACTATGACTGTATGGCATTACATTCTTAAATGCTTTGAAGAGCAATATACTTTTAGCTTTTATCTTGTTGATCAAGCTCTCATTGCTCATTCTTGAGATGCATTCATCAACAAATTTTTGGAAAAAGGCAGGTATTTCATTGTTCAATACATTTTCACAAATTTCCTCTTGTGGAAAGCCTTCAGCAGCAACTTCTGCATCAGATGGAGAATGCATAAATGTACTTGGTGATAGAACATTTTTATCATCAAAAAGATGAAAGTCACCAATATCATTTGATGTTCTGATATTTAGTTTCCTCCTCTGAAATGTTTGTTGTTTATATATTTGTTTTTCTTCTATGTCTCAGCTTACCTTAACCTTGGGTTCTACAATATAACTTGGTTCTGTTGAAACGTTTTCATCGTCGGATGATAAAACTTCTATAATAGCATTATCCATTACTACTTCAGAAATTTCAAATTTTAATCTTAATTCGTAAACGGTTTCGTGCTTAATTAAACTTGAGTGTTATAAGAAAGTAAATATTTTGACATGTTAGATGTACATAGAGAAAACTACAATCAGCTCGTATGCAGTTTCCTATAATGGCGACAAAATGGCTGAAACACTTGTACAGATTCCTGTAATATAACTCAAT